CCCCTTGTTAGTTGGACAAACAGTTGCCAGCAAGGGTGGATATTGAGGTGAACCTAGCCATCGACTGTCAAACTCATCCAAAAAGACCAATCAACACTGGGGATGAAATGAAATGTGGCACATGAAATGTGACCAACAGTGACAAATTCGAAGTCCGCTTCCTGGATAATGCGTCTGTACCACTACCAAATGGACATGCCCTGCCCTGAACTCATGAAAGGACTTGTTCTGGTTGTCTTCCCATTCTCCTCCTCAAGCAAACGAAGAAGGGCCAAATGAAGGAACCAAAGAACACCACCAGGGATCAACTCGTATGGGAAGTGCCGGAGGTGCTCAATTTGTGACAGTGACAGTGAGCGCTTTGCTATCAAGGCCAACCCTGCGTGACTAATCACCCAAGCTAGCGGGCGGCTTCCCGACAGAATATCAGGCCCACACCAAGCACACCGGAGACGCCCGAAAGGATCATGCAAACGGCCAAGGTGAAGAGCGTTAGGGTGGTGCTGCCTTGGCAAGAACTTTCCTCCCAGAGTCTTGAGTGGCATGTGTCCAAGCACGGGACTGCTGTCAAATAGGTTAATGCCGGACAATGTCCAGCCATTTGCCTTGAACACCTGCGGGTAAGCGTTTGCCGTATCAACCAACTGCAACAACGTGCAACATCTCTCACCTGCTCCAAAAGCTGGCAGAAGCCAGCAGCAGCGAAAAAAGTTCCAAAGGCAACGGTCCCCCAACCTTGAGCGGGAAAAGTTGTTTCGATCACGTCGGGTCCAGCCACTGGCCGGTACACAATACGTTGAGTCGGTCCCGGTCGATGGGTTCAAAAATAATCCTCGAATGAGTCTGCCATGCGTTCGCTTTGTCATCACCCAAGGGGCGCAAAGGGAGCCTGCAACACGTTTGCTGCCCATCAGAGAAGTCTGCAGCATCAATCCGCGTGGAGTACGTGACCATTCTCCCAGACCTATTGCCTGCCAAACCACTCCACAACGCTCAAGCCCCCCTAGGGGAGCGTCCTTCTTCGGTCAGTTCCAATGACATCTTCTTTACAATTATATATATAGACTCCCCTGCGGCCCTAGCCTCCAGCTAACCATTAGCTCTGAGCACGACATACGGAGAGCTATCACAAACGGAGCCCGCTCACAAGTGTTTGGTTATAATTGTCAGGCACCAAATGGATCCAAATGATAACGCTTGCTTGTCCCACAGAGGTCTGACCTTCACAAACAAGTCAAGTTGCACAAAGAACTTGAGGAGCGAGCGTGCACCAACAAACATGTAGCAAATTTACATTGGGCAACGACAACGGCAAAACAAAGTTGTCTGCATGGTGTCTACAAAACGCGTGGGGGATTTACACAAAGAACTTGCCAAAAAAATTTATCACGGCAAGAGACCCCAAACAGTGTGTGTGTGTGTGTCCACCCCTGGACAAAGGGTTATCAACCAACTTTGGCAGGGGG